CTAGAAGACCAAATACTGTATATTCTGGTGTATAAGACTACTTTCTAACCCAAGAAAATCTTCTCAAAAGTCAGGGGTCGTCTTACACACGGGAGTAGTCTTATACACAGGAGTCGTATTATACGCTGGAGTAGCCTTATGCATGGGAGTCGTCTTATATGCGGGAGTAGTCTTATACGCCGGGAGTTGGCTTATAGAGCGGATGCTGAAACTTCCAATCCGGATTGGAGAATCTGTGGTTGCTGCATATTGTGGGGGGAGCTCAAAAATGGCAGTGACCATGTCCCTACCGTATGCAGCAACTGTATGAAAGCATTAAGGGCGACACTGTACAAGTATGGTAGAAGAAAATCAATTCATCAAGATTCATGGACTTAATGTGGTTCTGAAGGTGAAGTGAAGGGGCGCCTCACCGGGAAGGTGTAAGTGAAGAACGGAGCAAGCTGCAGGCGTCCGGGGCACCCGGGATATGGGAAAAAGAGATAGAGTGGCCCTGGGCCCAGAAAAACACAACTTTTACCTGTCTGGCCCGCCCTTGTATCCTGTTACCATACCTCCTCCTCTGCCTCTCAGATCTCGCTCCTGAAGACTGCAGTTAAGTGGTCCAGGTGCACATGTGCAGGATCTGAGAGGCAGAGAAGGAGGTATAGTAATAGGAAAATTACCATATTGAAATCAAATCTGATGCTTTTAAAAAATTTTATTTGGTGTCTGTTGGAAGAGGGGTAGTCTTATACGGCGAGTATATCCCAAACTCTGTATTTTAACTGGAAAAGTTGGCGGTCGTCTTATACGCCCAGTTGTCTTATATGCCGGAATATACGGTATTTATAATTTATATCAAATATTTCTAGATCTTTGAAGTGTTGCTATTTTGGGCAAAAGATCCCAGTATCTCCAAACAGCAGGATAGTGATCATACTTCCTAGATGATACTGGGAAGCATAGTTTGAAATGAAATAGTTCTAAGCTCTGAATCATTCCTATCTAGCACTAGACCAGGTATGGGCAAACTCAAGCACATGAGCCAGATGCAGCCCCTTAGGCTCCTTCCTCCAGCCCATCTTTGTCACTTGTAAGCACATGTGACTATTATTCTCCCAAGATGAATAATATTAGAAAATGTATAATAATAGAAAATAGTTTAATTGTTATGATTTCCCCAGATTCTTTGCTATTTGAGTTGCCTTGGACTAACATGACAATTCTGAACCTTGAACAAGTGTGCACATAATGTAATTTGTCATAGGAAAGAAACTAGGTATTTAATGTAACCACATGATTACAAAAAAAAAATATCATTAAAGACACAGTGCATATTAGCCATAAGTGGCTCTTGAGGGTTGCCCTTTGGGAAACTAAGTTGTAGAACCCTTTCATCTTTTACCTGTAGGTGGAAAACATGTAATTACATTCTCAGGTATCTAAGAGTTGTATCATTTGGCAGGGAAATAAAAAAAGAACAGACAGCAAATTTTCAAGAAAACTTATGACAGAGATAAGGGACACAATACCAAGAAATAGCATTATGGTTTGACTGCCAATCCTGCATCTCATAGATTTCTGAGGTTTGTAGTTTGATGAGGTTCTAGAGTTTTCAGGCAGAGAATTTAGCATACTCACCCTAAACCATAAAGTCCATGATTCCATAGGACTATCCTTTGGCATCCAACCTGTGTTATAAGCCTCCAGTGTATAAAGGCACAATATTTGTGGAATTAGAGTCAAGTTTGGCATTAGGACTGCAGTGAAAATATTCTGCAGTGACTCAATTTCCAATCAATGTCATTTGTTCAAAAATGCTGAAGACTCTTTTTACATGACACAAATATGCAGAGGTGGCCCTAGGTAATTTTCAATGGTAAGCAAACAGTATTCCCCCCCCCCCCAACCAATCACTGATATATATTTTCTGTTCGTCGTGGGAGTTCTGCATGCCATATTTGGTTCAATTCCATCATTGGTGGAGTTCAGAATGCTCTTTGATTGTAGGTGAACTATACATCCCAGTAACTACAACTTGCATATGTCAAGGTCTATTTTCCCCCAAGAGCATCTCAAGAGCGCCCCTGGGCAAAATCAACTATACTGCAAATGCTTACTTTGCGTAATGGGTTGAGCCGCCCCTGCAAATATGACACTAATTATTCCACTTAAACTGCTTATGGAGGGCTGTGGGGCACTATAACTCAATCTGTGAATTCTACATTTCCATCTTTAAACTGCATATTAGGGCTGGGCGGTTTCGTTTCGTTAATTCGTAATTCGTTAATAATTCGTTAATTTTTTCAATTACAAAACGATAACGAACCATTCTGGAGCAATTATTAAAAAAAACGAATTTTCAAAAAAGTTTTGTAAATGCTTCGTATTTCGATATTGTATTCGTTTCGTTATTGTTTTGAGGTCGTTTCGTTATTATTTCCGCATGTCTGGGCCAGTTTTATGGTTTAATTAGTGAAAAAAATTATAATATCACACCAACAGTCAACAACAGGGGGAGAGGGAAGCTTCAGAAGGTTTTGGAGGTTTTTTAGCGTATTTCGCGGTCGCGTCCGCCATTAACGAATCGATTCGTTATTGTTTCGGAAATCGATTCGTTAATTTTTTACCAATTACGAAATTTCGTAAATATCAAACTTTTTAAAAGGAAAATTTTGTAATTATTTTAAATATCGAAACAAAAAAAAACCCCAAATACAAATCGATTTTAGAAACAAATTTTTCCGTTGTTACCCAGGCCTACTGCATATATCTGAATTCCATGAGATATTACCATGTCAATTAAAAAGAAATCATAGTGCTATAATTTGTATGCCTGATTTGTAAAACATCTTACAGTAGTTCATATTATTTTTCCCTCCCTTCTTAACTGCTCACATCTTCTTTGGTTTCAGCCCCCTCATTGTGAAGAGAAATTCAGTTTTTAAGGTAAAAGGCATTTCTTTCTCCCACCCTGGACATTCCTTTATTTACATAACATGTGGATGAAAAATTCTATATAATAACCATAACAATGTGTTGCTGTGAGTTTTTCATGCTGTTTGGCCATGCTGCAGTAGTATTCTCTCCTGACAGTTTGCCTGCATCTGTGGCTGGCATCTTAAGAGGTTCTGTTGGCAATGAAGAAAGTGGAGGCTATACATATATATGTGGAATGTCCAGGGTAGAAGAAATAACTCTTTGTCTGTTGAAGCAAGTGTGAATGTTGCAATTAGCAATCTTGAACAGCATTGAGTAGCTGTGATGCTGCAAAGTCAATCAGTGAGGTTATCTGCATAGAGCAGTGGTTCTCAGCCTGTGTGTCCCCAGTTGTTTTGGCCTTCAACTCACAGAAATACTAACAACTGGTAAACTGGTTGGGATTTCTGGGACTTGTAGGCCAAAACACCTGGGGACCCACAGTTTGAGAACCATTGGCATAGAGGCAATCTGGGCTTTGTTGCCCGAAAGCATTCTCTGTTTGGGAGGTGTTAACTGGCACTTGATTGTTTGCTTTCTGAAGTTCTGTTCTGAGTGGTGTTTTTTATTTACTTTCTTGATTCTGATTTTATTTTAATACTGGTAGCCAGATTTTGTTCATTTTCATGGTTTCCTCCTTTCTGTTGAAATTGTCCATGTGCTTATGGATTTCAGTGGTTTATCTGTGTAGACTGACATGATAGTTGTCAGAGTGGTCTAGAATTTCTGTCTTCTCATATAATAGTCTGTGTTGAGGTTGGTTCATCAAGTGCTCTGCTATGGCTGACTTCTTTGGTTGAATTAGTCTGCAGTGCTTTGTGTTCTTTGATTCATGTTTATTTTGGCTATACTTGCCATCTGGATAACTTTTTAAAAGCAAATACTTTCAGGGGGATATTTTTTGGAGTATGGATAAATGAAACTGTGAATATTGTGTCTATTGAAAAGAGAGTTGTACCGTTTTTAGATATATATTTTTACATTATCCAACATCCCTTAGCATGGGGCTAAACTGGTTCAACCTGGGTCAAGCTCATGCAGACAAGTTTTGCGTACAGATTTAAATGTGCCATTTTTGATATGATGAAGTGTGTTCAGATCACAAAGGGAAGGGTTAACACTAGAATCAGTTAGATTAGAATCCTGTTCTTTTCCAGCTAATTTGTTTATTGCATTTTTACAACATTTCTGTGATAAAAATATAATTAGTGGATTGAATAATATTGTATGATTGGTGTATGTTTGGAATCTGGAAAGACTGAAGACATGATCCTAAGAAGATTGAGGCCTGTAAAACTGCAAAATGAGGTGAAGAATTCATGAACTACTGAAGTGTGATAAAAAGTTGCTGATGAGAATTGCTGGCATTGCTGATCTGTTGAATTATGGTTGAAAACATGTTTAAGTAGTCAAATACAATTATTCTTTAAGTTAAGGAAGTCAAATACAGTGGTCCCTTACATTAAAAAGAGAAACTAATATCTTTCCAAAACTGATGGAGTCAGAATGTTTTAGCTGGATAACAAGTTAATCAATTGAGAACAACAACAGCAAAAAATGATGTGTAAGAGACCGTTTTTACTTCCCGAAAGCATGTCAGATCTGCAGGGGAATGCAGATTATGATCACCTGCCACCTCTTTCTGCAAGGGATGGAGAAAAATGGTGTATCGGCAAAGTGGCAGATAAGTGGGGAACACAATCTGGCCCATGTGCAGGTCCCTTCTCCAGGAACAGGAAGAAGGGATGTTAATGTATGCATGTAAAGTGAATGTGTGTATGTGTGCATGCTGAGTGAAATGGAATATCCCCTTGGTTTGCCTGATATACTTTGTCTTACTGAAAATAGAATAAGAAGAAAAGCACTCCAATAAAATCTCTCCAAAACAGAAGATATTATGTATAGATTTGGCTTTTCGTCATGCAGATTCATTTGAGAGATATATTGGATATGAAATAAAAAGTAATATTAATACACCAATATGTGTAAAAACAAAAACAAAATAAAGATTCAGGACACAACATGTTATGTGTTTAGAATGCAACCTCCAAAAGAAATGGCATATGACATGTTTATTGCACAATTATAAATTATCTTAAATTGACATTTACCCAGATTTGAATGCATTAGACAACTGAGCTACACTTGTCTTAACAGAATCCCAGCATGAAACTAATCTCCTGTATCCCCACTAAGGAACTAGTTAGAGAAGTAAAGTAAAGGGAATAGATCAAGATGCAGGACAGAAATAGATGGGGAAAAGAGATAGAAAATGACTGGTTAAGAGGGAAGGGGAGACAAACACAGCAAATAATGCTGTTGATAAATGAGTGTTTCAATTGTGTGTTTACTGCTTCAAACTGTGCCTTTTAAAAAAGACAAATACATTGTTAGCAAAAAGCAAAACCCTGTCTTCACTTTTTCATCCACAACATGTCACCCACTGCTTTTATTCCAAGTGGTGAAAAGCCGATTGGGATGAGGCACAGAGAAATCAGCAATGGAACCCTTGATTTTCTTCTGTAAGCAGTTTGCCAGTCACTTTGAGGATGGAATAGCTCATATTCACTCAGAACTTGGTGCTATGTTTATTGCAAAATCAGCAGAGTATCCAGTGCTCCATCTGATCAGGTTTCTTGGGGTCATTTCATTTGCTGAAGCCTGATGACATAGACAAGAAGTTTGAATTAGTCTGTTCCACCACATACAAGCTTTAGTCTTTCGTTTTTGATAGATAAAATCGAGCAGAGGTAGATTGTTCAGGTAGGTGGGAAAGGCCTCACTGTGACTTTTGATTTGAAGGGTTACTGTATCCTCTCTTAAAAGGTATATGTATTTATTTGGAATAACTACAATTCCATTGATAATGGACACATCTGTGTGAAGTGACTGGACAATTTCAGATGTTTTTGAATGAAACTGATTATCTGCACACCTTTCTGATATCAGGCTTAGCCTTAGGTCCCATCTATGCTGATCATTCAATGTAGTTTCAAACTAGAGTTGAATAAAGTGTTTTTGCTGTGAAGATGATTACATAAGAAATCCTGGAAATGATTTGAGGCACGGATGGTGATTGTACAAATGACACCTTCAAACTGCACTAAATGGTCAGTGTAGATTGGGCACAAGCCACTCTGACACACTACTTCTGGTGAAAAATGGAGAATACCACCTACTCATCTTTCTGGCTCCCTTGGTGGTTTATAATGCATTTGAATGTGTTCTGTTATTGTACAGGCTCAACTGGATTAGAGGAGGAAGTACTAGGTCTAGTGGTTCCAGTCCTCCCAGTGAACTTGTCCAAACAATAGCATTAATGGGATTCCTGTTAAGTCTTCTGGCCATCAAACTGTGGGGTGAGGCATCCCATGCAAGTCTAGATCTATCTGAAGATGCTGGTAGAGATCAAAGGAATTCTTGGTGTGGCTCCATGAAGAAAGCTAATGATATCCAGCTCTATTTTCCTTGGCATTGGAGCTGCCTGTGGCTGTGCAGCATTTGGATCAGTGACTGGATGTTGTAATGGGTCAATAAAAATAATTTGAATCCTGCATCTTGATGCTCAATGCATTTATGAGTCTCAAGGCTGTCAAATGGGTAAGCAATCTGCAATATTAACATGTTAATTTAGGAAATATATGCAAAAACAGCATGGATACCACACAGAACTGAATTTGGAGTATCCATGCAGTTTTTCACAGATGAAAACCAGGACACCAGAGTGTGATCCAGATGACAAATGTTAATGTGGAAGAACACACAAGCTAGGAGAGACTGCAACAGTTCCTTTTTGCCAAAGTCTATTGAAAAGGATAAGATTTTGCCTTGTCCTCCCTCTCTGCTGAGTTCAACTGATTTTCAATTTCAGGGATTTAAGTAAATTGAGGATTTTATTATTTGTAATTTTATCTCTAAATATTGTTTTGTATTATAATAAACATTTTTGTAGATCAAAGTTATTTTTATAAGAATTCTTTTTTCATTGCCTTACTCCTCAAAAGCCTAGAGATTTAGGGACTGGTGGCCTAAATTGTTATTTGAAGAAATATTCCTCCTCCTATTCTCTCCACCAGCTACACAACTGAGTGTTGAAGGCAGAGTTTCTCCTCCCATGGGCATCTGTATTTGGCCCCTATGTCATTGTTTCCAGAAATCATATGTGGAATGAATCTCTATCCCTACCATAAACTTAATCCAAGGTTCATGAATATGAGTGTTGGAGTGGAGCATTGCTCCTTCAATTGTCATCTTTACTAGGGAGCCAGGGTTAACTATGTCAGGAATGAGGTAGGTCTGGAACGCCCCACCCAGTCACTGGCTGGAGAAGTTTCATCCAAGGTCTGGGTGACTGGAATGGGCATGAATCTTCTCTTGGATTTCATGCAAGCCATGGACAAGACAGATATCAGTGCTGTGCTTTCACAAGGAAATGAAATCAAATGTCACATTTTGCTTGATTTTACAGAGCATCTAACACATAATGCTATGCATTTACAGATGAAGGGTACAACTACAGTGTAGAAGTAATGCAGTTTGACACTAGCTTAACTACCATGACTCAATGTTATGGAATCATGGAAATTGTAGAGTCTCCAGCCCTTTCTGACTAAGAGTGCTGGTGCCGCACCAAACTACAAGCACCATGATTTCATGGCATTGAGCCATGACAGTTAAAGCAGTGTCAAATTGCATTAATTCTACAGCCTAAGACCAATAGACTAAGAATAATCTCAATTAAATATGTATCAAACATACCATTCTCATTTAGTCCTTTGATGCCTGTCCTCTATGAATCTCACCTCTGAAGTGATCTAGATTATTCAAGAGACCAAGATATTGTACAAGAAGGACTACCACTTTCTCAGGAAGAAATCTGGGGAGGAAAACAATGTTGTATTTTAGATTAGTTCTGAAAAAAAAAACATTCTTAGGGCTGGTCAGGCAGATACCCCCCCCCCCCCACCGTTACATCCTCAGTCTCAGGCTTTAAAAATAAAGAAGTTATTTCTGTTTTTGAGAAAGGAACTTAAAATTGCAAATACTTTCATCCAAAGTGTCTTATAGGAATAAGAAATGGTGCCACATGGTCATGCTGTTCCTTTTAAAACCTCCCAATCTTTCTTGTTCCAAACATATTTTTCCTGATGTTTTTTGTGATAGCAAGTACCCATATTTCTATCTGTCAGGGACAGCTCATGCCATGTTGCATCTGACAAGTAGCTCCTGGTGTAGTGTGAGATGAGGTAGTTAGATGAAAAAGGATCAAAGGCATTGTGGGAAAGAATCAGCCCAAACAGTTCAATATTCAGAAAAGGCAAGCCACTGACTGTGTTACTAACTTTCATGACTATAGAATAAAATATCAATCCCATACTTTCTCACATTTCATATATGAAAATCAGAACAGGCATGGCTAACATAGACATTTGACTATGATGAAGATGGTAAAAGTTAAAAATGAGGATAAACAGGAGCTTCGTGGGAGTAAAAAAAGAAGGAAGGAAAAGGAGTTAGTGTAATTCAAGAATCAGTAAAAAGAGAAGGACAAGAAAATTTGCATCGCAAACATGGGAGGGGAAGGGAAGAAGAGGAAAGGAGAAGAAAAATAAAATAAAAGAACTTAAAAAATCACATAATTAATAGCAAGTACCATGAATGTAGCCGAACAAAACCAGCCCCTTGGTTTACTGAGGAGCTGGCAGCGTTGAAGCGAAAGAAGAGGGAACTAG